ACGAAAAAGCACTTGAAATTCGAGAAAAAGTTCTTCCTTCAAATCATTCTGATTTGGCTACTTCATACAGCAACATGGGTAGTGTGCATAACAGCATGGGAGAGTACTCGAAAGCACTTTCATATCACGAAAAAGCACTTGAAATTCGACAAAAAGCTCTTCCTTCAAATCATCCTCATTTGGCTACTTCATACAACAACATTGGTTTAGTGTATGACAACATGAGAGAGTACTCGAAAGCACTTTCATATCACGAAAAAGCACTTGAAATCTATCAAAAAACTCTTCCTTCAAATCATCCTGATTTGGCTACTTCATACAGCAACATCGGTGTTGTGTATAACAGCATGGGAGAGTACTCGAAAGCACTTTCATATCACGAAAAAGCACTTGAGATCGATCAAAAAACTCTTCCTTCAAATCATTCTGATTTGGCTACTTCATACAGCAACATTGGGTAGTGTGTATTACAGTATGAAAGACTATTCGAAAGCACTATCATATTTTGAGCGTGCTCTGGACATACAACAAAGTGCCTTACCTCCAAATCATCCTCATATCAAAACGGTGAAAAACAGTATTGAAATCGTAAAACAAGAAATTACAAATAAAAGAATATTTTGTTCAACTATGTAAAATTAATTCTATTTTCTAGTGTGTAGCGCTTGCGTATAGAGAACAACCCTATAAATAATAAAAACGTGATGAACAAAGGCTATTGATAAGATAGTTTACATATATACTTATGTGTTAACTGACCTTCGTAGACATATTTATATTTTAATTCTTTACGAGTGTTCCCTTTAGTAAAAAAAGAACAAAACAATATTACGTTAAGTAGTGCTCTTGGAAAAAGCGATCTAAAAGAGAATAACTTACATGTCATTGAATTGTTGAAATTTTGAACCGGGCCTCATATGATGACGAAAAAATTAAGAAAACTGCGATATCCGTGCATCTATCTATACACCCACACCCTCATAGTGTATTGTCAATATCAGTTAGATGAAGAACAGATTATACTGCTAAAACAATTTTTGAAGAAAAACCATTGAAGAGTAAATATTAGGATGCACTTCTACTTATTAAAGTATACCCTCAAGGAGAAGTTTATGATAATCTCAAATGTTTACAAATTATTATCATTCATTTTTGAGTGTTTATAAAAAAGAATTTTAGTTCGATTTTCATAAAGAATTCTCTTGGAACGATTAACAAATTAGCAGTATTTCTTTTTTATAGAAAATGAATGTATTTTCAACATAACGAGTAAAATGATCTAAACAATAATAGCTATACAATCACTAATAATTCATTTTTCTCTAATATAGCCATCTTTATGGTATAATAAGGGCAAAAAAACTAATCTTTTTTATTGTGTATGGCAGACGATAATATTTGTAATAAAATAATTATTTGACACGAACTCAACTGATAAACGCAATCCTGTTTATCTAAAAAGATTTTAACATTTATTAATTAAACACTTTTATATTCAACAAGAATTATATGATCAAGTTCTATAGTCATTTATAATCACATCTGAATACTTACATATACTGTGGAAAACAGTTGTATAGAATGATATTCTTATTAACACTCGATAAAAGCATCTCAAACTTTACAACTGAATAATTTTTTTAGTTTTCATATGAGAGTTCAATTTGTTATTTATTCTTTTTTTTTTCTTTACACTTTTCAAATATTGATTGATCTTATTTCATGTAAAGTGAAGATCTATCGGCAATGAACTAATATCAACAAAACTTATTTCTTTTCGATTAATTGACATGAACTATCTACGCTGGTTTTCCCATCAAAGCCATTCAATCAACTATTTTAGATTGGTTTTAACTTTCTTTAAAATTAATATTAATTACTACATTCATTATCAAGATATTATAGATATATTGATAAACAATGCATCGAATATGATTCAGTCCTAACAATATACATTCTTTATTTTCTATGAAAAACATTAGTTGACTATCAGTCATTTCTATTGCACTTTATGAGTATACTTTTTTTAAAAATATTGCATATGATATTACATAATAGATAATAAGATTTTATATTATTGTTGATCTCACTTGATATATCTCATTGAAAAATTTGCTTCATCAACTACTCAAGATGTTGATTTATGTCATAAAAATAATATGCACAATGATTTTTTAATATCTATTGTAAGTTTACGTTCAATTTTCTTTCATCATCAGCATAAGAATATTTTCTATGAAATGTGTAAGCTCCATATTTTACCCACGAAGAAGCTGCATTGACAAGCTTTCTCAAAATGAATATATTATATTAAAACTATTCTTCCTTGAAAAAAACACTATATTTGACTGAGAAACTGTAATCCAAAGCTTCCGACATAGAACTATTTCTAATGTAATAAGATAAAATAGTTTAAACATGAAATGATTCTAATTTCTTGTTACGGTTAAGAACATAGATAATTAATATATAACTTGCTGTATGTCCTAACTAAATGAGATAATTAGGAGGAGAGTTTCATTCGAGTTAGATCTTCGTTTCCACTTGGTAAAGATATACTCGACATTGACGTAAGAAAAAA